ACAACAAATAGTTCAATACAAATTATATAGTTCAACAAATAAAAACTCGTATTTCATCACACGGCGTCTTTCTTGAGCCTCCATAGATGCTCAATCAGATCTTTCTGCAGTTGATGATGCACCTGTGGGTCTCGGATCTCCTGACGCATACTGAGATAGGCAGTCCAAATTGCCGGTAGCTGGTGATCAACTTCGGCTAGAGGACCCTGCCTGTAGTATGGTTCAGTGTCAAACACTGGGTCTTCTTGCTCGCTCTCGATGATCATGTTGTGCAAGATGACACAACAAGTCATAATCTCCCACATTTGATCTTTGGACCAGGTTTGATTGGGGTACCAAACAACAGCAAATCAAGATTGGAGCACACTAAATGCCCGCTCGACATCCTTTCTGCAAGCCTCCTGAAGCTTCGCAAATCAGGCGTTCTTGCCTCCTGTCACAGGGTTTGAGATCGTCTTCACAAATGTCGACCATCTCGGATAGATGCCGTCAGCTAGATAGTACCCCTTGTTGTAGTGCCGCCCATTGATCTCGAAGTTCACCGGAGGAGAATGACCTTCAACAAGCTTGGCAAAGACAAGAGAGCACTGCAGCACGTTGATGTCATTGTGAGTTCCTGGCATACCAAAGGAGTGCCAAATCCAGAGGTCCTGTGTGGCCACCGCCTCAAGCACCATACTCCAACCGCCTTTGGCGCCTTTGTACATCCCCTGCCAAGAAAATGGACAATTCTTCCATTTCCAATGCATGTAGTCGATGCTTCCAAGCATCCCAGGAAATCCTCTTGCTGCATTCTATGCTAGGATCCGAGCAGTGTCTTCCGCATTGGGTGTTCTCAAGTATTGTGGTGCAAATACTGCCACCACTGCCCGACAGAACTTGTAGAAACACTCTATGCTGGTGGACTCGGCCATGTGCCCATAGTCGTTGAGTGAATCACCGGGAGCTCCATATGCAAGCATCATCATCGCTGTCATGCACTTCTGGATGGAGGTGAATCCAAGAGCGCCGGTGCAATCCATCTTGCACTTGAAGTAGTTGTCGAACTCCCGGATGGAATTCACAATCCGGAGGAAGAGCTTTCGGCTCATCCGATAACGGCGCCGAAATGTTTTTCTCGCCGTGAAGTGGAGCATCGGCGAAGTAGTCGGAGTAGAGCATGCAGTAGCCTTCGAGACGATGTCGGTTCTTTGCTTTCACCCGCCCAGGCGCCAAGCCACCTCGCCGCGGCCTTTCGTTGCTCGCCAGCAACTGGGCGAGGGCGGCGAGCACCATGAGATGCTCTTCTTCCTAGACGTCGGCCTCGGCTTCCTCCTCCAGCAGCGCGGCGAGCGCTTCCTCGTCATCCGAGTCCGTCACTGAGGCAGGCAAATCACCAAACACCTTGTGCTCGACGAGCGTGTACCCGCCGCTAAACCGCGCCTCCGCGGTCGGAAACGCCCAGCTGCTGTTGGAGGGGCTGTCGCGGCGAAGCACTGCTATTTTTCCAGCGGGGAATGGCTATCTAGCGGTGTAGGGTGGCGGGCGGCGCCGAGATATAGCTAGTGGTGGCCGAGGGCGCGGGGGGTGGGAAACGAGTCGAGGAAGAAAACCTTGACTTTTCCCCTGACGGTGTGGGCCAGCCACGCTTTTCCCTTGCGCCGGAGCCCCCAGCTGCTCCCCAGTGCGCCGGGTTCGGCCTGTGACCGCCGGGCGGAAAAAAGGACCGAACCGACGATTTTCGGCGTCCTGGGGATGCGACTAGGACGTTTTTTTCGTGCCGACGCTGAAAAAGTGACCTGAGGGTCCTGTTGGGAACGCCGCTGGAGATGCTCTAGCCTGCTATACTCGTAATCAGCCTCCCCCTTGGTGAGATCTGCAAACGCGGACAGCTGAGACACCCGCGAAGAACCAGAATTGTTCATTTTGTACACCCGCATCGCGCTGGCCTTAAATGACCTGAACCAGCGGACCATCTCTGTACGGTCACAGGACACTTCATAATACTTGGACCAGCTCTCGTACAAGGCCCAGAGGGATTCCTTCGACTTGATGGAATTCTCATCGACAAGGGGAAAGTTTGGATCATTTCCTGACTTGTAGCGGCATGATTCCATCCACTCGATGAAATTCTTATCAACAGGGGGACAGTTTTTGTGATCTTCTTCTGACTCGTAATCGCCTGCGGTTCAGTAGCAAGGAGTTACAATTTGATTTCAAAAAATACCATCATCTCCTCCCCCGGTGATTCTAAAAAAAAACATCATTTGTAATATTTGCAGAGCTGAATGCAAACCCGACCTTTACGAGACCTCCAAGAGACTGAACCGACACATCTGCATGAGATTAACGAAATTGCCACAGACGCCTTTGTAGGTGACGGGAATCACCTCCCATTGAATACACATCGACGAAAGACCTAAAATGAATCAAGAAAAATGCGACCACCAATACCAAGTTTAGGACTTGAATCCCAATTGGTTGGTTCCACCACAAAAAAACCTAACCATCTAAACTACCCTCGATTCACTCGGTGATTAATGATAGTTATTTTACGTGCCTGCACACATGTATACAACCACCACTTTAATGCATAAAAACTTGGTGACCGCGGCGAACTGAGCCTAGCTCAGATGGTCTGGTGGAACTAGTCCACCAGGATTCATGTTATAGACTCGACACCCGTGCTCGAATTTTTCTTTGTTTAATTCAGGCTTCCCTGTTCGTTCAATGGGAGGAGACGTTCAAGTCGACTACAAAAGCACATGTGGTGACTTCGTGAATCTCAAAATGATGGGCCGGCTCAATCTCTCATAGGGGTATGATGTGCGTGTGTGTGTTCACAACCTGTGAGTGTATGTGTGTATGTACGAGCATATGCATTTTGTATAGTGTTAACAAAAACTTGGCAACCGATCAGAACGAGCGATCGGTCACCGCATGGGCCAGATCCGGCAGGTTCCCGTCCCGAGCTGGTGTGGTACAGTGCTAGTGGTGGTCGCATGTGGGCGGTGGCCTAAGACGGAGGTGGCGGCGGCACCCTATGTATGGTCAGGTCAACATGCAGCAGCCGAGACGACGCTTGGCTGTGGCTGCGGCGGGTGAGTTTCCTTCGGTGATCTGGCAGCTGGAGGTTGATTGGCTGTCATGTATCCGAGTCCCTTCTAGATCCGTCATCGGCTTCTTTGGCTTGCCAAGACACGAGTTGGGCTGTGGTGGTTGGGCTTGGTGGTGGGTGCTCCAACGGTCATCGTGTGCCTACGTTTGGTCTGTGTCGTCGCCGGCATGTTCTAGATGTGGTAGTATAGTGGTCTCTGGCAAGGCTTAGGCTCCTTGTGTTATGGCATGTGTGGTGTTGTGGTGAGGGGTTGAGCGGCAGTTGGCTCAATGTTTCAATTTGTGTGGTCTGCCCTTAACACCCCAGGCTTGGTACCTTTGACTAGTTTGATGTCGTTGGTGGCTGAGACTCCTTCCAAGAGTCTCATCGAGGTGGAGGGACTATGGGCTCTGGGCGAAAGCTTTGGCGGACGGAGGTCGATACCAGTAAAGAACACGTCCATGGTCGTCTTTTTTGTCCTTGTAGGCGTCATTGAAGAGTTCACCCCGACACTAGACTTTTGTTGTCTGGTTCTAGATACCGACAACTGTTGATATGGCCGGATCCCTTCCCACAGGATTAGGTGGGGTGGTGGTGTGCGCTCTAGGCAAAAGCTTTGTGCCAACGGGATTTGGTATCGGTGACGTTTGACGTTAAGGTGTGCCATTTTCTTCTTGAAGCCGCTGCAAAAGAGCATCTTCATTTTTACCATGGGTCTTTTTTGGCTCTCGATCATTGGTTTGCGTTTGGCGGTGGTGCCTGGTTTTAGTTAGGGGTTGTTTGTATTCGGTTTTGGCGTGATTGTCTTCTATTAATTATGCAATTTAGTGGTTTTTGCCTAATTTTTCGTATAAACATGACTATTTTTTTTGGAAATTGCAGGAGCATCTCTGACGAGGTTCTGTAAAATAATTCCTACAAATTCTCTAGAATAATTATTTTCTTAGTTGCATGAAAGGTAGAAAACTGGAGTTTTAGAAGTTTCAGCCTGAAGAAGTTTATTTTGATTATTTTTTGACTCGATAGAGTGAAGATAGCAATAATAAAAATTCCCTTACCTAGACTTTTCCACTCTGGGGTGAGTTTTAAGCTCCGAGTTTATTCTTAAAAAAATCCATAGTTTTCCCGCGAAAAAAAAATACAAGGAAATGAAAATTTTCAAGCTTCAGCTAAGCTCAATGGCCAACGCCCCAACCGAGTCGCGGGGCTCGCCGCTCGCCTCCCCCGCGACGGCGATGCGGCGACGCCCCCCGCCTCCACCGCCCGCGTCACATGCCCCCTCGAAGAGCCGGCTGCTCCTCCCGCATAGCGCTTCGCCGACCCCCCCACATCCTCCCGCGGACCCGACGCCGGTGAGTCGCCGCAACCCTAGAGAGCCCCGCACTCGGCCAGATCTTTTCTGCATCGGGCTGTTGGGTTCCCCAATTAGGAGAAGCGTCGATCCCAAGATGAACACACACATATTCTTTGCTTTGGCTTCAACTGTACTCAAGAACGCACCGAGCCACTGTCTCTGTTTATTTTCGGCCACCATTTCTATTTCTGCAGACTTCGCCTCCAGTGTGAGTACTGACGGATAATCGTCAACAGCAAGAGTAGCTGCCACTGATTCATCAACGGAAATGGTTGCTTCTTGCTTCCCCGCGATGTGATGTGCAAAAACGGAGGAGTAAAGCTTCAAACAGAATACTGACGTACGCCCCATCCGTGCCCATCCTCGTCCCTCGTCCATTGGATGCCTTCTCGGCTAGCTTTGCTTCCACCCGTGGAACTGCCTTTTTTACTCAAATTGCTGGTTGCTTGACGCAGTACGCTTCTAGCCTCTTGTTGCATGAGCCATAGCCCGTGCTATATATATGGGTGGGCTGTGGATTCAGTACTCTGTTCTTTGATTTGAGCTCCGGGTTCAGTTCAGACAAGCACAATGGCTGTGCCAAGGGCGTATGCCGGTCATCGGCTCCGTTGTGTGCTTGTAGTTCTGTGTGCCTTGTGCTGGGCATCGTCCTCTGTCAGGTTCGTGGCGGGTCAGGCCGGGCAGCTGAGCGTGGACGCCTCGCCGCAGACTGCGAGGAAGATGCCTGACAAGATGTTCGGCATCTTTTTTGAGGTGAGCATAAGAGTCTCTTGGTAAATTGCTTGTTAAACTGCGATTGCTGAAAACTTTTGCGCTCTTTGATCGATCTGTACCAGCCACCTGGTAAAACTTTGCATAAAATTTTCTCTCATTCAGTAAGGCCATTTTGTTTGGTTACAGTTTAAACTATATATGCAGCTATATTGTCTTAACTGAATCTCGTAGGATTACAGAGTGCGGCTCTGTCGCAGTTTGCCTCAGTTCAAAAAAGTTGGGTCTTGGAAAAACGGTTTTGATTTTGCTGCAAAGAGAATAAAGTCAACAACAGTTAGTAATTCAAATCATTTTTCGGTTTTATCTGTAGGAGATCAACCATGCTGGTGCTGGTGGGCTGTGGGCAGAGCTTGTAAGCAACAGAGGTAAGTAAATCTTAATTATCAGCATATGTGTTAATGATTCAAGGGTCCATTCTGCACTTCCATTTTTCCTTGCTCAGTGTTGTGTATACTCTGACAAAATTACTTCCAGGTTTTGAGGCCGGTGGGCCTAATACACCATCAAACATCGACCCATGGTTCATAATTGGAAATGAATCAAGCATCATCGTGGGAACCGATCGGACATCTTGTTTCGAACGTAACCCGGTCGCACTCCGAATGGAAGTTCTTTGTGGTTCTAAAGGAACTAATGTCTGCCCATCCGGAGGCGTTGGGGTCTACAATCCTGGTTACTGGGGCATGGTATGATATTTCTTTTGTTCATATGTCTGCATATATGATATGTTGACCTGTTTTCAAAAGAAATACAACATATTCGGTCTATAATATTGCGGAACGTGTGTGGCAGTTTCAGTTTGGTTTGAAATGCATTATCATTCTTTTAAATGAAATCTCTTTACAAGTTTGCCTCATATTGCTTTCCTCTTTCCAGAACATTGAAAGAAGGAAGGGTTATAAGGTGAGCCTGCACATTAGGTCTTCAGATGCAGTTTCCTTGACCATTTCTTTGACAAGCTCTGACGGTCTGCACAAACTCGCTTCTCGCACCATCACGTAATGTTATGCTGTCATCAGTTTATCAGAAATGCTGCATTATTGTTTGCATATTTATAACCTGGATTCCCCTGGTGCTTTCAGGGGCGGCAAGAAACAATTCGCCAACTGGACAAAGATACAGTTTCGTTTGTATTCCAGCCAAAACAACACTAATTCAAGGCTTCAAATTACAACCACTAAAACGGGGGTGGTCTGGCTCGATCAAGTGTCGGTTATGCCATCGGACACTTACATGGTATGCCTTCTTTGTGTCTGTTTCTCTTCCTTTTGGGTGAGATTTCTTTTTCTTCCGAGACCGCACAGAAGAACCGTGTCTCTTTGTGTTGAAGAAAGCAATGAGAATGAATACTATGTATGCTTTCACCTGTACCGTGTTTGAACTTTTGTTCATTACATGTTTTCTTCATAGGGACATGGTTTTCGGAAGGATCTTGCTTCTATGTTGGCCAATTTAAAGCCCCAGTTTCTCAAGTTTCCAGGTTTGTCATATTTGCGGTTATTACATCCAAGGTTAACTTATACTAGCATTACATGATTTTGATGATACACATCAAATGTATTTTAGGCGGTAACTATGCCATGGGAAACTATCTAAGAAATGCGTTTCATTGGGGCGAAACTGTGGGTCCATGGGAGGAAAGACCTGGCCATGTGAATGATGCCTGGGGATACTGGACTGACGATGGACTCGGATTCTTTGAGTTCCTTCAGGTAAATGGAACAGAGACACAGTCTTTGACTTTAACACACTAAAATTTCTCCAATGAGTATATTTCATAAGTTGATATTGATATTTATTTACTGCAGTTAGCTGAAGACCTTGGTGCTTCCCCTGTTTGGGTGGTGAATGATGGTATGTTCAGTCTACATAGATGTATGGCTTCTAGCAAACACTTGATCTGTCTTATGAAATGCTTGTCGGTACTGCAGGAGCAAGCATTAATGAAGAAGTTCCTACTGCAATAATTGCATCTCTGGTGAAGGTATGTTCTTCAATAATACTTGTCAGTCAGTTGATAAAGGAAAGAAACCTGACTGGATAACTTAATGTCATGAAATCTCTGATTTAATTTTGTGGCATACGTGTTCTTCTCTGTTGTTTGAAAACAACATATGATGCCCAACCTCGTAAACAATTGGCAACATGAACTTGTTCTACGAGGAAATGTGACTACAAAGACATAAGAAGTACAAAAACAAACTCGTTTACAAAGTAAGTTGAAGATTTTAAGAATAAATCAACCTATTTTTTGTAGCAGGTGTGTTTGCAAAACAAATGATTTATATTGCGATTAAATTTGCCATGAGCATTCTTGGCTCAGTTACTACCACAAAATATATTACGGCACATAATGTTCTCTTGTTGATGCCAAGAAAAAGATATTAGTTGCTAAACATTCTGAGGCAGCATGAAGTTTCTCTTATATATTTTTTAGAATTTTCTTTTATATAGTATTAGTCCAGTACTTTTCCGAAATTATTTAAATGAATAAATCTATTATACCAGTACCTTTACGGCCTTCCTGGCCTTCCCTGCATTTTCTTCATACTTGTAGTATTTCAGGATGTTGTTGATGGTATCGAGTTTGCGAGGGGAGGGGCCAACACTACATGGGGTTCAGTTCGTGCGGCAATGGGACATCCACAACCCTTTAAGCTTGATTATGTTTCAATAGGGAATCAAGAATGTTGGATGCTCTACTACAGAGGTTTGTAGTTCAGTTCAGTAACCTTCTTTCCTAGGTTCACAAATCTGTACATGATTCAGTGTGTTTGTGGATCAAGAGTTTTCTATGTATGCCATGATTGCATAGAATTTTTGGTCATGTGACTTCTGATTAAAGATTTTGTTCTATTTATTTTTCTGCTATGGATAACTCCTGTATCTGCAACCTTGCTTCTCTACTTAGTGAAAGTATGCGCAAAGATTTTGCACATTTTCTCTCTCATGGATAAAGCAGGAAAGCTCATACTAAATGTTTACTTGGTTTAATAGGCAATTACCAAAAGTTCTATTCTGCGATTAAAGCTGCTTACCCAGACATCAACATTATATCAAGCTGTGATAAGTCAACTATTTCAGCATCCAACCCTGCCGATCTATATGATGTTCATGTAAGGCTCCTCTGTTATGTTTCGTCGCTTTCTATCACAAATTAACCTTAATGATTGATAAAAACTTCATTTCTGCTGCAGGTCTATGCATCTTCTGCTAATATGTTTTCGAGAACTAGTATGTTTGACAACACACCACGCAGCGGACCAAAGGTAGTATGTTTTGAAATTCCAAATGCTATCCCGACATGCTACATCTGTGATGTTCTGTGCCAAGTCTCTGAGCTAGAAATGACTTGTGGAATCACTGTCAAACTGTAGGCAATCGTTAGTGAGTACGCCGTGACTGGAAACGACGCTGGCAAAGGAACACTGGTAGCAGCACTTGCAGAAGCTGCATTTCTCGTTGGATTAGAGAAGAACAGGTTATTATGTGTGCTCTTCCTGGTTTTTCATTGTAGTGTTTTGTTTGCTCCTGGGTACTAAATCTGGTTCATGATGCCAATAATTAAGACCATGTACAAATCGGGGTTTTGACATTAAATGCTAGAGGATAATGCCTAACTGTCCCAACAAGTCTGGGCAGTCTGCCGTTTGCATTGCTCTGCTGGTGGGTTCCACTGCAAACTTTGATATTTTGCCCGTTAATTGTTCTACTGCAGTGATGTGGTTGAGATGGCAAGCTGCGCACCACTTTTCGTAAACGACAACGATCGCAGGTAAAGATTCAACATCTTAAAAGCATCGTTTCACATTTCGGTATGGTTTGCCAGCCTCGAATCGATCGTGTCGTGTATTTGGATAATCAACACAGAAAATATTATGTGCTCCCTCCACAGGTGGAGCCCAGATGCCATTGTGTTCAACTCATGGCAGCACTACGGATGCCCAAACTACTGGATGCTACACTTCTTCAAGGACTCGAGCGGCGCCACCTTTCACCCCACAGCCATGCAGGTCTCCAACTACGATCAGATGGTTGCATCTGCCATCACCTGGCAGAGCCCTAAAGACAAGAGCACTTACCTGAAAATAAAGGTGCTCCCATTTTTTCTTTTCCAAATTTCAGTAAGCAAACTCTGCTGACCAACCTTATTACGAAACAAAAATGACCAAACACAACAATCTTTCCGCAGGTCGTAAACTTCGGCAGCAAAGCCATGGATCTCAACATAACAGTGACGGGTCTGGAGAGCGGCATCAAGAGCTCCGGCTCGAAGAAGACGGTGCTGACATCCGCCGCGGCGCTCGACGAGAACTCCTTCGAGCAGCCAGAAAAGGTCAGCACCGCACCACCACACTTTTTTTTTTTGCTGACTCTGCAGGTGGTAAATTGCTCGCTCTAGCTGTTTAGCTCTGGTGTTTGCTGACTCTGCAACCGTGTTGCTGGAATTCTGCAGGTGGCGCCGGTGTCGAGCCCGGTGGCCGACGCCAAGCAGCAAATGGGCGTGTCAGTGAGCCCTTACTCCCTCACATCGTTCGATCTCCTGCTGGAGCCCAGCAAACACTCAATCATATGAAGAAGAAACTAGCTCGAGTGGAAGGAAATCATAGAGATAGTTACCACGTATATTGTAGATTGTACTGTATTATTCTCTGTGCCTGGATTGTATGTCTGAAAGAAACATTACGTGGCCGTCTCTCTGAAGCTTATTACAGCAAACATTGTGCTCCGTAACTAGAAGCGATATTTGCAAATGTTCATCACCTTCCGTCGTAGTCTAGGTGGTTAGGATACTCGGCTCTCACCCGAGAGACCCGGGTTCAAGTCCCGGCGACGGAACATTTTTTTCCCACGCCACTTTTTAACCTACTTACAAATGGCTACTATTCCAGTCTCAGTTTTAGCACTTTCAGCTTTAACTTAATTGTAACGACTGGAATATGAATATTTGCACCAACATATCATACATCCATTTTTTAAACCTTTAACAGCAAACGATTGGAATATGAATATTTTGGGGAAATTGTTGAACACATGATGTGTGTGAGAGTTTTGAGGCAATACAATAAGGAAAACGTTTGTTTTAAGTCGGATGAAAAGAATGAAACGCAAGCCGCTCCCGTTGATCGACACGTGTCCTCTCGCCCTCCACCGCTTCGCTCAGCCGGCCTTATCTCTTCACCCCGTCTCTCCTCCACACGTTTTCATCCCCGCTCACTTTTTTCTCTTTCCCATCTCTGCTCGCGAGAAGAGGAGAGTAGAAACATGTCTGTATTTCTTGCATTGTTGTGTGGGTAGAGTTCCTGTCACAGCCCTCCATGCTGTGATCTTCATTTTCTGAGGTACGTTAGATTTCCACACACAGTTCCATAAGCCCCGGTTGCCATCTGGGCTAGTACTTGAAGCACCATCTGCGAACTGGATATTGTGCTCATACATAGCTAGTTTATATGCACTTTTCACTGTGAAAACTCCACTTTTCTCCGGAAACCAAGAGAGAAAGTCCGTTCGCTGACGGGGGGATGTTCTGATTTTCAAAATATATTGAACGTCCATCGGCCGAAAAAATTGTCTCAGGCGGTCAACTCTCCAAGCACCATTGACATCTAGGAAATCAGAAACACAATTTAGACGACAAGTACCTTTAGGGGAGATTGGCCGGAATGAAGAGGGACGCGGTATCCATGGGTCTCTCCATGTCCGTATTGCAGCTCCGTTCCCCACCCGCCAAATAACACCATTTTTGAAAAGCTCAAGACCATGCAATATACCTTTCCACACCGCGGAGCCATTGCCTGAAAAAACAGTGTCCAGAATATGACCTGAAGGGTAATATTTAGCCTTCAGTAATCGTGCACATAAACTTCCAGGCGAGTCCAGCAAGCGCCAGGCTTGTTTGGCCAACAAGGCCTGGTTGAAAGCTCGCATGCCATGCCTCCCATAGGCTTTGGTAGCATCATTCTGTCCCAGCTCATCCAGGCCATCTTCTTTTTCCCATTCTCGACACCCCATCAATATTACCTCATCAACCATGTTAGCTCATCGCAAACAGAAACAGGGAGCCTAAACACACTCATAACATAAGAAGGTATGGTTGATTGATGGCGGTGCACATGGTGTTGATGGCATCGGCCAAAAGCATATGTGCCTATTATACTCGTCGAGCATAGTGTACCACCACGATCAATGTTTCCTCTCCATAACTCCATTTTGTCGAGGGTACAGGTGGTGGAAAGCTTGTGGTTGATCCCATTTTCATCGAGGGAGACATCAATATTGGTGATCTTGAACTTCGTCCCATTATCACTTCAGACTTTCTTGATCTTGACCTAAATATGGCTTTGATCTTTTCTTACAAAAGTCTTGAATGTGCCTTGGGTTTTACCTTTATCATCCAAAAAAATACCAAAATGAATATAGAATAATCATCAATTATTATGAGACAAAATTTCCGGACATATGTTCTACCTTGTTTTAAGCACATTTGTAGAGATACACAATGGACTCGGATGATGAGTTTATTTACAACGAGTTATTCGATCCGTTGTCATAGGACGACGGTGATGGCGGCTACAAGTTGATGATGACGATGATCCTCGAAGAAATGGAGAAGAAGGAGGAGCATATGGTGTCAACTTTAGGGGTTTTGACACCGGGCAGCACAACTGTTTGCCGGGCTATTGTTCTGTGTACATGCTAATATGTGGAATCCCGAGACATTATGAGAGGTAATAATTGCATGCCTGATCATGCACGACAATATTGTGGTCGTCCGGAGAGGTCGGACGGCTAGATAAGGTTAGGTTTTTTTTTTTGGATAAGTTAGATAAGGTTTTTTCTAATAAAGACACTTAAAGCGCATCTTTTTTTTTTGAAATTACTCAAAGCGCATCTTAAATCTGATTAATATCAAGAAAACAATGATCAGTACCACGGATAGATAACAGAGCGTGCTTTCTCAGGGGACATTTGTTTCCATCGGAGCGAGCTAACTTTCGCCCCCGCCCCGCACGTGGTTTCACTTAGCCGTGGACCGTCGTGGACGTATGTTCCTCCAACGAACTCGCACGGCGCCGCGCACCAGCCCGGGCCGGGCCGCACCGCTCCCGCCTGCATGTGCATGCAACAAGCTCCAAAACGTCCTGCCTCGTCCCAGCTCCATGCACGGCCATTTCAGGCTAAGCCAGCGCTTATCACACGCGCGTACGTAGCACTACGTGCCCATGACCCCATCATCATCGTCTCCGGTCGTCGCCTACCAGCACCGCAGCTGCCACGAAGCTTCCTAAAGTCGTCCTACACCAGCACCGCGCCTGCCTCCGTAGATAGAGAGTATGTCTATACACACGAACAAAACAATGCAAGAATACGTATAGGATGGTGACGTTACTTGCTGCCTGGCTTTTCGTGGCATATACTTACATTAGTAAGTACATTATTACATATATCTGGCGGAACTAATGCGTGGTTAATAACCCAATGTTTGTGTGGGTGTGTGGGTTTAACAAAAGGTTATATCTCTTACGCCAAAAGAAAAAACGAAAATGACGTGCATACGATATTACTTTCCTATACAATCCTTGTACGGCACTAACTAACATGGACCATTCACGTTGGAACACAAGAAGGAAACCAACAGCTCGTGCCATGCGTCTTACAAGGACTGTACGTGCGTGTAGCATCGATAAAAAAAAATTGACGGAAAGCATGGATTAATGTTATCTGCAGTTTCTTGTCTTGGTGGACCAACTGTTTCTTATTGTACCAACATATACGTACGTATGTATTGTACGTGCCATGCAACTGCGAGGCAAGTAAGTTTCTTGACCGACGCGAACCAACCTGTGGTTGGATGCTTAGAGGGACTGTGGTATCCCCAGCCCACCAGGGTTCAAATCCTGGTGCTCGCATTTATTCCTGGATTTATTTCAGGATTTCCAGCGATGCGCATTTAGTGGGAGGAGACGTTCCCGTCAACGACGAGGTGCCTACGGTGACTTCGTAAATTTCAAGATGATATGCCGGCTCAGTCTTTCGGAGGTGCTCATAGGGGTAGGGTGTGCGTGTGTGCGTTCATAGGGGTGAGTGTATGCGCGTGTATATGAGCACTTGTGTCTGTACTGATGTTCAAAAAAAGAAGTTTCTTGACCGACGAGCCTCTCTCGTTAACTATTGTCTTTCTTTGTACAAATGGGTCAATCAGTGACAAGAATTTTACATGTTCGTATTAGAGGGGGAGAGGTCGGCCGGTTAGATAAGATTTTTTTTACAAGGTTAGATAAGTTCTTTTTAACAAAGACGCCCAAAATGCATCTTAGATCTAACTAATATCAAGAAAAACAAAGGCCAGTTCAATGAATAGACAATTGGATGTGGAGCAATCAGTAAAAAAATTTACATTAGATAAGGTTAGTTGGGTCTTTGGGATGTAATCAGTAATAGTTGAGAAGCTTACTTTCCAGAACAAATGTCAATATATCTGTTCACAGTTAACCACCCCTGGCACCACGCATGTGCCGTAACAATGTGACCATAAGAAATTTCATGTCTGCTTCCTTCTCCCAAGCATGTCTGCTAGCTAGCCTCTCCTCCTTTTATTCTGCCATGAAATATATTCTGCCCAGCATGTTGCACGCAGCAGAGATATATACATACGAGTATATATTTGATCTGATCTCTGAGTCCTAATCAAACCCTACTGGTCACAGTCTTAATAAGTAGTACATCACCCACTCACAGAAAATGCATTTCAATATTTTTCAAGTATTGTTCGCTATATAGTTCATTCACACGCAGAGCTAGCCTCGAATAAAACATGCTCTGGATACAGAGCTGTACGGCTGCACTACCGAATCGATCTGCTTTGACCAGCTGCTAGCCGAGAGAGAGAGATAAATAATAATTAAGAATAACCCGATGGCGATTGGGTCGATCCAACGCGCCAATCGCTAAAGAATGTCAATGCATTGGTACATTTTTTAAAAAGTCTCGACATGCTAATCACGATCGTCATAGTATAGTTCAGGAAAAAAAAATGAATAGGGTCGCCGTAGCTTGGTAACCAAAAACCACAGCACAACGTGACCGAGCCTAAACATACCCTCCGTCTCCCCCTCTCCCATTCTTGAAACTGAACCATTCCCCTTATATTTATAAAAACTTATGAGCTCAGCTATATTTATATGATCAGCCCTAGCAAAAATAGTAATTAATATGTAGGAAGTATGATTTTTTAGTGGGGGATTTGATCCGTAAAATAGATCATCATCAAAACTCAAACTTAAAAGTCGTTGTGTTGATCCAGCATGAGCACTGACTATTCATCAAAAAGATTATGATCGATGTATAGCATAATGATATATTGTTTATTCCGACCACATGGTATATACTCCCTCCGTCTTAGAATAAGTGACTCAACTTTGTACTAAGTTTAATGCAAAATTAGTACAAACTTGAGTCACTTATTTTGGGACAAAGGGAGTATATAGTAAGCTATCTAGAAGGGAAAAAACGACGTTCTGACTTCTTGTGATTACCTAGGTGTAGCATTTTTTGGGAAGAGCTTTCCTACACCTA